TCCGGAAGTTTCATGGAATACTGCTTCAGGAATCATCGACCTGGGAAAAGGTGAGTAGTTGAGTATAAAAAAAAACTAACTACTTATAATGTTCGATAATGATAATGATATATTATAAAGTTCGAGTTTCGGTATGATGTGTGTCTGTACCATGCATCCAAAAAGAAAATTAGCAATTAGTTATTATCGACAAACTGTATTGATACAACATATTCGATAATGATATATTATAAAGTTCGAGTTTCGGTATGATGTGCGTCTGTGTCATGCATCCTAAAAAGAAAACTAGCAATCAGCTATCGTCGACACACTGTATTTATACAACATACCTGTTTTATTTCTTGGGATGTGCGATTGGGTATGGATGTGGGTGTTAGTACAAGTATCTATTCACTAACACTCATACCTACACCATTTTATTTTATTTTATCTTATTGCATTTGCTTTATTGTGTTATATGATTCTATTTTATTTTATCTCATTGCATTTTATTTTATTGTATTATATGACTCTATTTTATTCACTCGACTGTAAGAAGAGTCATATGAAATAAAATACGTTTATATGCATGTGGTTGTCAATGTTTAAAAATAACCAAGGTGAAATACACATAATACGTTATAAAACATGACCGAAACGGTTTTGCGGTCAGAGAATCCGAATGTGAGATCTATTTAGTCAGACAAATCAGGACGGGGGAAGGTGAGGGAAGATGTAATTATGAACTAATAGAAATCAAACTTAAGAAGAAAAGTCTTTCTATGGATACTTTGATGTTGTATTTCTTGTAAAGAAGTATGTAGCAAGCCAAAATGGTTGTTTTCTCACTTATGTTAGTTTCCACATTGAACACTCTAACAAAAAGGGTGTGAGTGTGGGTCTGAGCTAAAACAATAGATGTTCACATCTACACCCAACCACACCCATTCACCAAGTTATAAAAGAAATTGTTGTTCTCGTGAAATAGACTTTTTAACCGAAAGAAAAAAGAAAACTGAAATTGCTTCATGTTTATTTTCAAATCTTCGATAATTGATATGTACATGTGATAATATACATGCGGGCAAAAACAGGTACATACACTGAAAATTTATTTCATATGATTCTCCTCAGTTGAAGAAACTATTTATAAAGTCGAATTCTAATTTCCTACTCTCGACTAAATTTGTTTAAGTTTGATTAAACATACAATTCCATTGGTAACCGTCACTATTATTGAAGACCATCAAAATACGCATTCTATCTTAGTCAAACCTTAAATACAACTTGAAGTATTGCAAATATACTAAGCAGAAAAATGTGATTAGATAACTGTTATAAGTTTTTCACATAATTACAATAAAGGATAAAAAATAAGAAACATCATATTGCAATAAAACTAAAAAAGTGATTAGATGGTAAAGTAAGCCGAGAACTTTATGACAAAAAATTCTGTAACAAAGCAACGAAAAGAAAAAATCAAAAAATATATAATAATCTCATTACTTTTGGCATGTATGGTTTGATTTTCTGGCTTAACGATAGCTTAAGAAAGGAAAACATTACAATCAATTTCAAATTAATAATGAGCTAAAAGATAACAAGTTTATCATAGTAGAAGAAGTGTTTATTCCGTTATATGCCTGATTAAAAACAAGATATAAAATAACATGCATTTAAACGAAGAAATCTTTCTCTCTCTCTACTTTTATGTGATAAATAATACGTGAGAAAAATTATATTTAGAAAAAGAGTTGATGGTGGAATTTAATTTTACGTCAAAGTCATGAAAAGAAAAATACTTTCCCTTCTATTAAACTGAATTGAGGTATATGGCGATTTGAACGATAGAAATATACACAACTTGAGTATTTTTCAATAATAATTTTGTTTTAATTTGACTATCTTTTTTATAAAAACCAAATTTGTTAGAAAATCAAAGTCCAGACATGAATAAGTATGTCAATCGGTTCATCTATGCATTTTTCTGAGATATGTATCAGCCCTCGGACCATTTCATGAAGAAAATTTTGGAGATGATTTGAAAGAGTAAAGTGCATTGTACAAATATATATAGGAATCCTGTTTAAATGGTACACATAAACTAGACATATAATGAACAAACAATGTTTATATGGATGTTTTGAGATATGCCATAAAGTTTCGACCAGTAGAGTGATTCAAAAAGAGCTTGATCGTTACGTTTGATATTCAGAGTTCTATAGATAATATCTTAAGGATGCGAGTGTGAGTTTTGATATGATAGTACTATGATCAACTGACACTCATACCCTCAAACTTTCACAATTTAAAGGCATTAATGAAGAAATTTGAATATTACTTAAATATATTAATAATTGTCTTTTTTCCTATGCTTCTTAGATTTAATATGGTTTATTAACAGAATGATAAGCATATATTCGAGATAGGTTTTTTTATTATCGACAAAACAAGCGTGATGATTACAGCGTTGAAAAATTAGAGAGCGAAGGTATAAATAAATAAATAAAAGATCGATATTCATATCATCTTTCGTATGAACCATCAACAAAAAGGTCATGTGAAGTGAACCAAAAATGCTGTGAACCAAACAAGAGTTCATAATACATGTTTTAGAGGGAACCACGAAGAATAAAACTTATTCCGCTTTATTTTTCTCTATAAATTTTAACAACTTTTAATTCCCTTATCTCTCTTTAGTCTTTTTGGTCCTTTTAATCCTTTTAATCTTTTTAATCCTAAAGCGTGTTTGGTTTCCTTCACATGACCCGTCAAAAACATGTTGTTTGAATACAATGGTGAAAAAAGAAAAATTTTAATCTGTGTACAAGAATATGATATGAATAACAAAAGTTAAAACTAAATATATATATATATATAAGGTGTATATATATATATATGATATTTACTTGATTTTATTTGAAAACAAGGTTGTTATTACAATGATATATTGGTTAAAGAGTTTTATAAGTCTTCTGATTGCTCTCAGTACCTTAATTGTTGCTGATGATCCATGTCGATTTGAACATTCAAAAGGTATCATTGATTTAACATCCTTAGGTAGAACTGATGGAAAACCTGCATATCCAGATCAAACACCATCAGTAGGAAGCAATTATGGTATGTTGATTTTCTTAATATTCTGATAATTATTTTTAATTATTTGTTGAATATAGTGTATAGTTTTAATCCATGCAAACCTTTTTCCGAAGGAGATACTTGTAAAGGTGTAGCTGCTTGTCAAGGTTCGTAGATCCATATTATTCATTTCACTCATTTTTTCGCAATCTATTTAGTTTCAAAGGATAGAACACTTACTTTTATTCTTGCTAAACAAGACAGTGCTGAATGGGATGCAGGTGCTGGTCCAGGCGCTAATCCTTCTATTTCATATACCCTCGACACAAAACGCGTCTCGGTAGAATTAGTTTGTACAACTGATGAAATCAATGAATTGGAAGTTTTGGGAGAAGCTCCGATAAGTACTTATAAATTCCGTTTAACAAACAAATGTGCTTGTTGGAATGGATGTGGAGGTAAATAAATTTTAGATAAATCTTTTTAACCGTTTATCTTATAAACGTCTTTTACGAATTTACTATCGACATTCTTTTAGGAGTTCCACCGCCACCACCACCACCACCACAACAAAACTGCACAATCAATGGTTCTACTTATTCATCGGATAAAGAAATTATTCAATCTTTTCCATTCACGATTTTAATCAATCCTACACAACCTCAATCATCACCACCTACGTCTAGTTATGTTACTGTTGGTATATATAGCCGTGTCATTGAATTGATCCTAGTGAATATTCCTAGTATTCCACCTGCTCTTTTTTGTTTAAATGCCATGGAAAAACTTTCTATTTTCAATTCACCTAATGTTGTAATTTCTTCTGAAATAAGTCGTCTTTCTTTGTCACTTAAATCTTTGATCGTATCGAATATTTCTCGATCAGGTTCTCTTCCTGCTGAAATATTCAATATGAAAAATTTATCAACATTGTCAATTATCAACTGTGATTTGGAAATGTTATCAGAAGATGTGAGCAAACTGGATTCACTCACGCAACTGACACTGGATAAAAATCGTCTGCTTAGTCTTCCATGGGCTCTGGGTAAACTACCATCTCTTACATCATTATCTGTTAACAATAATCTTCGTCTTTCTTCACTCGATGTTCTTTATGGATCAACATCACTCAATATCCTGCAAGCATCAAACTGTATGATCAATCACCTTCCTGCTAATATTCCAAATTTACGCATAATCGAATTAGATGGTAATCAACTTACATCTCTCGATGGCTTTGAAACAATTGCATCACAAAATAGTACATTGTTTTCATTTAATAATAACAAAATCGCATCTATTTCAAGTGTCTCATTAGCAAAAATTGTTGTACTTAATAGTTTTTATTTATTCAACAATCTACTTACAACATTGCCCGATTCAATCTATTTAATAAAAGATTTGAAGTACGTCAATATTCAAAATAATAATTTTAATGCAAAAGAAAGAGACTGGATTCAAGGTGTATTTCGAATAACAAATACTACTCTTATTATCTAATATAATGAATTTTTTCTGGAAATAAATTATTAATTAATGATTGATATTTTCAATAAAATCATATTTAGATGAAAGCATATATGGAATTGAAGATCTTGATTTCTAAATTTTTCATGGTGTCGATATAAGTTAGTGAGAATGTAAATTTCAGAGAAGTAATTTACTCACATCATCATCCTTAGATACAGCATCCACGCTTTCTAAAGTATCTCTGCGCAAATAAAGAATAATAAGAGTCTTTTTCTGCTTGACTACGTCTATATTATTCATTCCTTTTGACTATATTGTAGAACATATACTCATTTTTTGTTGAATTCACATTTCTTATGTATTTGAGATTTTATATAGCGACGGCTTGTGCATATATTGAAAACTTATACAATTCATTTTGAATTAATAAATTTTTTGTACAATTCTATTTATGGAACACATTATCTGTTGTTTTTTTTCTAAAACTTTATTTTAACATTTGTCTTTGAATCTAAACATTACTTAATATATGATAAGCAGTGGTTGTCTCAGACAACATTCACGTAGAGATTCTATTGATATGAGGATATTGATCAATCATAAAATACATGACTCGACTTTGTTCAAGAATGAATTAGTTAACAAAAGAACTTCCATTTTGAGGGTGTGCGTGTGAGTGTTGTCATTATCTCAAACCTATACCCTCAAGACATTATTTCAACTCTTTTTTTTTGTTTTTACTAAAACGCAATTATTCAGATTTTTTATTTTATTTTCAGATGTACACACTCCGTATTCTTCATGTTGGAAAGTTTTATTTAGTTTCAGCGGTTTCATATAGATTATTCATCACAAGATAAAATAGTAACAATAACATAAATGAAAAGAAGTGTATCTAGCATATCTTTTTAATGACTTTTTGAGGAAAAAAACTGAACTAGACATGCTATTGCATTGATATGCTTAGAATTTCTAATTAAATTGTCTATTTCTGGATAGGTTCGTGCTGTATTATTTATGAGAGGTGTGTGTTTTTTTAAGCATAAATCCTGTTTAACTAAACTTTTGATTCTTTTGAAACATTATAAGATTTCCGTGCAGCAGACTGCTATATTCACACGATTTAACAATAAAAGACATGATCAAACAACAATACTGAATTCATTTTAATTCATTTATTATTCTATATTCTTTTGAATCATGTCAAACTCTAGCAGCACTTCTTCGAATGGAACTGAAAATACTTTGGCAATAAACAACATTCCTATTCCAGTTCGATTTTGGACATATCTGATATCCGATGTTTTATCCATTGCTTGTTCTCTATTCGTTCTATATTATCTTTTTTTTGATCGGGCACTACGTCGTGCACTAAACAATCATGTTATCATTGTTCTTCTTTTTATCGGTCTCGTAAACGAAATCACCAGTGTACCATGGATTCTTTATCGTCAGCGGTTTGGTATTGCTTTGATACAGACACCTGATTTTTATCTTTCATCGTATTTCTTCGATTACGCAACGTTTACTACTCAAATAATATTATTCGCTTGGGCTACCCTTGAAAGACATATACTCATATATCATGATCATTGGATATCTACGAAACAGAGACGCTTCTTCGTTCATTATCTACCAATAATTTCAATCTTGATCTATACTCTTGTCTATTATTCTGTAACCACCTTCAGTCCATTTTGTAAAAATTCATTTGTTTCCTTCTTAGCGGGAGGTTACATAATTCCGTGTGTATATGGTAACAAAGTGTTAGCTATGTGGGAACTTCTTGCACATCAAGTTATTCCAACTTTAATTATTGTGATATTTAGTATTACCCTTATTGTACGTGCTCTACAACAAAAACAAAGAGTGAATCAACGAATTCAATGGCGAAAATATCGCAAGATGACTATTCAGTTATTATCAATTTCGGCTCTTTATTTAGCGTTTAATTCTCCATGGGTATTTATACTTTTTGCTTCTCAATATGGTTTACCACCAAATATTACAAGAATATACACGTTTTATGGATTATATTTTCGGAATTATGTTATTTTTCTATTTCCATTTGTGTGTTTTGGATCACTATCTGAACTACGAGATGAATTCAAAAAGAAATTTCTATGGTGTCGACGACAACATCGAGTTATTGCTGAAATGACTATGGAAAGCAATACGTAGAATAAATGAACAAATTATTCCTCATTAAACATTATTTTATATTATTATGACATAAAAGAAAATCCGAATACCAATGATTATTCATCAAACAGATAAACTTCACAGAGCTTGAAGAAGAAAAAAAGTTTATTATAGAAGATTATCGATGTTGTATCATTGTTTAGCAATATATTCTATTTATTTATTATTATCTGTCATTATATTTATATTGAAAGAAAACCATCTTGAGGGTGTGAGTGTGATATAATAAAATCACCCACATCCTCAAGATATTTAGGTTAATCTTACCATCAAAATCTTCTCAAATTTTATTCGAATCTGAAGTTAGAAACAATAAATTATCCACATTAAACTTCCATATGTGAAAAAAGACTTCTCTAGAAACTATTACCAGTTTCATTTGTGATTAATATTTCATAAACTAAAATAAATATACTTTTCAAAAAAAGAAGTATTTTATTCAAAATCAAATAATTTTTTTTTTATTTTGATAAATTATATTATTTCACAATTGAATTATCTTCAAAATAAAACAATTTTCATTTTATTCCATACATAGTTCATATTTTTGAATTCGATGATTATAAGAATCAAGAATGTAAAGATTTCCTTCAACATCAAATGAGAGATCCATCGGATAATGTAATTGATCTGCTTCTTCCCCTTTACCATTTTCACCAACAACAATTGAACCATGTGTATTTCCTTCAAGCCAATGCATCACTCGATCATTTGCAGAGTCTGCAATAATTATTTGACTCGAATTATCAACAATCACTGCATAAGGCAGAGATAATTGGTTGAGATGATTTCCATATCCATTTCCGCCAGCAACAACAATTCCTTCTTTTGCATCTTTTTTCCATTTCATTATACGATGATTTTGAGTATCCGCTACATAAACAGCATAATCCTCATCGACAAAGATATGACGAGGTCGATTGAGTTGACTGGAATGATTTCCTTCATTATTTCCACCTGCAACTATTGTTCCATATGTGTCTCCTTCTTTCCACCGTATCACTTCAGCCTTGTACATATCAGAAACATAAAGAGACCCATTTTTGTCCATTGCCAGACCGCCACATGCAATATTAGAGATGAGAATTTGTGGATTTGTTTGACTTTGATGAAATAATCGCATTACTCTTCGGTTCCCATGATCACATATGATTATCGCATTCTTTTGTTTGTCAACAGTTACGTCGAATGGTACGCTGAGCTGATCCTGTCTGTCACCCATTCCCATTCCACCTACAATGACTTGACCATTGTTAGGATCATCTTTCCATTTAACAATACGATAATTTCCAGTATCAGCAATCAAAATGCTTTCATCATCATCAATATACATCCCCTGAGGTACAGAGAGTTGACTTAAGCTATTTCCTTGTCCACCTTTTCCAGCAACAGTAATTCCATGTTGTTTCCATTTGTCAGATTCTGGTTTGCTTTGTACTAAAAGTGAACACAAAGGATTTGACATTAAATCAAAATCTAACAATATCGATTTAAGAGAAATGCCAGTTGAATTAAAAAAGAAAGATGATTAAAATTTTGCATGTATAGTATTAAATAACAAAAGAAAACTGAATAAAAATGTCTTTCCATTTTTCTTTTGAAAAAGAGAATGAGAATTTGTTTTTTGAATCGATGATATATATCGATAAATGAGTGATCAAGAGTAAAGATTCTCATATTTATACTGGCGCCACTGTGTATTCTGCGATATTTCTCGACTAGCTTCCTACCTGAATTTTGAAAATATTATTATCTTGTATGAAGATCTGATATAGATTTACAAGATCTTAGTCAACATACAGATGGTTTAATATAATCTCTATAGTTCATATGTAGATACTCTTAAATACTTCAGAAATAGTCCATCAGATATCTTCTACAAGTGTCAGAAACCAAATCAGACATCAATGGTCAATTTAATAAATTTCTGAAATTCTTACTCTTAAAAACGTCCTTGGATGGAAGATGATATTTCTTGGAAAAATTCCTCACTTTTTAACCCCAAGCAGTCGCAAAATTCCACTGACAAGTATTATTTCATCAAAATCTTGATAAAGAAATAGTACGTTTATATATTTTAGTCACATGAGATTTACCTGTACACAACATCAAATTACACTTATCTTCTGTCTACTTTGTATCTTGATTACAAGATGTTTCTTTGGAGAAATTCAAGACTGATAAACTTTAAAATACAATTTTTTTGAAAAAATGTTCTATTTTCCTTCTTCATTTCTCAAGTATTTACCGTCTGTGAATTCTTTTCTATAAAATGTATATTCTGATCTCTCAACTTTAAGTAAAGAATGACAAAGAAACTCCAACACAAAAACACTTTTTGATGGCAAAATCCTTCAGACAGTTATATCATGACGCTTTCTGACAAATTTTATTCCCTCCCATTTTCGAAAATAGTCGGAAAACCTGAATTCGACACTAACATATCGTAGAAATATTTTAATAATTTATCAAAAAAGAAAAGAATATCGCCTTTTTTTATTTTATTAACTTTATACCTTCTGTCGTTGGATTATATGTTGTTGTTGTAGATTTTTGAATTGTTGTTTTTGTTATAACAGTTGGTTGTTTCCTTATCATTGTTGTTTCTGATGTCACGGTTGATAGGTTTATCATGTTTATTGTTTCTGTTGTCGCATTTGATAGTTTTGTTATGTCTGCTGTTTTTGATTTAATAATCACGATTGGAATAGTTACAATCAAAATAACAACGATAATACCAATAGTAATCCATAAAAATTTCTTTTTTTTGAAACATTTTATTCTATAATAAACAATTCTTTTAATTATAAATCTCAACAATTTACAAAATACATACAATAAAGTTGGTTGATCAGTTGACGTCTGTCGAGAATTCGATGTAATCAGTTCAGACTAAAATAATTCATTAAAATCAAACGTTAATTAACAAATATACTACGTCACAAACTCCTATTTGATTTTGACCCATCATAAATCTTTTGTGCAAGTTTAAGATTGAATTAACACTTTATTACAATCAATAATCTAGAGTATCTAACAAAAACAGATGATATCAAAATAATACCTGAGAACAAAAGATTATAGTTGAAAAATATGCAGAAATCTTTGACTAAAAATAAGATAATAAATAATATTTATTTACAAATCAGTCGAAAGAAAACTATCAATGTAGAAATATGTTTATAAGAATTTTCAGAATATTTCTAAATGATTTTCTTAAAATTGGAAAACATATTAAAAAACAGTGTTGAAATTGATTTTCATCCATCGAAGCTGAGAAATCTCTCTTTTCTCACTATCCACAAATCATTATATTTTATTAACACTTACCCTAATATAATTGAACAAGAACAAACTGTTTGCAGTAGTATTCTCAAATAACTGACTACAAAATCTTCACTATGCTGCTAAAAAATAATAAATTCTCTTCCTCTTTCAAAGTAAATTTGTTAACAAAATTCTAGCAGATGTCAATTATCATTTGTTGTAAATACAGTAAATATTTATAATATTGAAGCTCTAGAAAAAGAATGTAAAGGCATTATATCCCAGACTAAATGAGAAAGAAAAACATTGAAAATCATTATTTAAACAGGAAACTGGAAGATTTTCTCAGAGAGAAAACAGAATTTATTATTTTGTATAGATTTGAAAGAACAAATATATCAACGAGAAGATCTATTTTGTAACTGATCCTAATATATTCGATGATTTCTGGATGGATGGATGGATGAATGGATGTGAGTGTAACTGTAATCTAAGATTTACCCTTTAATTAGAAATAATGTCAATGGGAACTTTCTTTTTTATTGAAATTTATGCAGCAAATACAACATTTGAAATTATCAGTAAATAAAAACAATGAACCCATTTCCTTTTTTACAACTGATATGAATCGACAGGTATTATTTACTCTAAATATAAAATAATGTTCATGGTATTGAAATTTTGTAGGAAGGATGTGAAAACAAAGTGTCTCAAACAAAATTTAATATTATTCTTATTAACGATACATCGAAAAATTATGCTTTAACGAAGGAAATACAACGCTTCCTGAACAATAAAATAGAACTTTTTTGACAACAGAATGTTTTTATTATTTTGTATTCAGTTGAAAGAGGAAATAAATCGGCATTGTGTATTGTCAGAAATGTATTACACAATTGATTTTATTCTTATTACGCAGATTAGATAAATAATAAAAAAGTGCAGTTGTTTATCTTCGGCATGAACCTTCATCAAATACTATTCAATAATATGAATATAATCGAACACATAAAATCTGTGAGAAATAAATATATAAACAAAATAATTAGAATTGCATATAATAATATCACATTCACATTCATCATATCAACTAATAACCTTTTCACATTATTATCTACATTTTTATCAATTGATTGTTTGGCGATAATAGTTGAATATTTGCTAAAACAAAATCTTGGAAATTACCTATTACATAGGAACATTAAAAATTATAACGATATTAATAATAAATTTATTTGTCCATCTGGTAGTGTCTTTTTAATCAAATTCTATTGAATTCGGATAACTTCTTAGAATTTGTTATGGTTTTATACGATCATGGAGGTGCGATTACAGAAATATATGTCTTTTCAAATAGATCTATGTGTCTTTATTAGATTAGTTTGATCCATATAGTTAAAAAATCGTTTATGTGCATTTTTTTGATTTTCTGCCTTCGAGAAAGCGAAGATGACTAATAAAATTCCGAAATTTTTATTTGGATTATTTTTTTTTATCTTGTTCAGTCAAATATATTTTTTTTCTTACGACAAAAAAATGGGAAATCAAGATCGATAATACATATATTAAAAATCATGATTCCCAAACACTTAAATCACTGATAACTCCAAAAGATAAATTTTTTAAGACTTACTCTTTCATTTCAAGGTACAATGCAGTTTCATGTCCGCTATTCAAGTAGCGATATGAATAAAATTTATCTTTTGAAGTTATGAGTGATTCGGATGTTTGTAAATCATGATTTTTTATATGTATATTATCAATCTTAATTTCCCATTTTGTTTTTTATCGTAAGATAATCAGATTATTTCATTTTTCTTTTTTATATTTCTTTAAGTAAACAAGATATCCTAACAATGGATAGACCAATATCAAAGAAAGAAAAAGATATTGAATATGAACCGCATCTTTTTAATAGTATTTATCATTCAATAGATATTCCTACAGAACATATTTACAGTTGCTTCGTTCTTGTACGGCATGAAATCAATAACAAAGAAAATGCGAATTAGTTGATTTTTGTTCAATACTACTTTGTTGTATATAAAATATCTAATGAATAATAATATTCACATGTTTAAAAATCTGTTTCTGTGACAGTTTCTTTCTATTCGAGAAAGATTTTCTTTACAGTCTGACTTATATTTCGTTATAAAACTCATAACGAATGAAGATAATTGTACAGTTAATTATGTACTACTCATGTACAAAAAAAATGAAAGCAAAAAGCAAATCAGATTGGATATTCTCTGATAAACTATTTCTTAGTAATTAATCTAAGTAAATCATTAAGATTCCAATCAATTTCAAGTGTAAATGAGAGCACTCAATCTTTATGTCACGTGGGGAAAATATTGCATAATCAGATAAAAATTCGATTAATCATAGAATGCATATTGTTCTGAAGTTTCAATTCAATGCTTTCTTTTATATGCAAAATTTTTTCGGCGAAATATTCGTATGTTCACGAAACTTAAATGATATTCGACTTAATTCACTTTCTCAAAATTTAAATTCGATTTTTTTTTTCGAAAGAAGTGCATTTTGATCACATCGAAAAATAATTTTTATCACCAGATTTTTTTTTATACCTAATCAACGCGATCGATTATTGACTGCTCGTGTCTTCTGATTGGTCTGTGCGAACATTAAGAATGAAAAAAAAATATAGCGATCAATCACTCTCTTCGTTTTGTCATTGATATATATGTGCTATCTATTGGAGAAAATTTTTATTTTAATATAACAGAACGAAAAAAA